TCCTTTTTTTTTTTTAAGAAAATAATTTAATTGTGCTTTTAATGAAAGTTTATAGAAAAGTTAGGTTTTCATTCATTCACTGTTGCATATTTTCTTGCCCTCTCCCTCCCTCTCTTCCCCTCCCCCAGTTCACTATTTTTTTTAAAATATTTATTCATTATTGCACAATTACCTCCCCCCATCCACTTCCCCCAGTCCTCTTTGCAATGTACCTCTTATTCTGGGCTATTGTTGTACATATGATATCTAATCGTATATTCCTTTTAAACAGTTCTTTCCTTCATCTGTTCCAGTGCAATGTTCATTATCTATCCACTCTTAATCCTCTTCTCCTCCTAAACCCTCAGGTCAGACCTGCATTTCAACAGTGGTGCTATGCAGTATTTGTCCTTTTGAGTTACTAGAAGGACGTTATATTGAGTGAAATATCTCAAATTTCCTATTTTTTTATAAAATCTACATCACCACATGGACTCAAGCCATCAGGAGATCTGGCATCCCTCGGCCCTCATTTCCCCACGGCAGCAGCCAGAGATACTCAGTAGCAAGAGCGCCATGCCTTCTGGATGTGGCCATCGCCTCCACCCAGCCAGGTTCCCTCAGGTATTTTACCTGCCAGGCACCTGGAGGCACTCGAGTTTGCATCAAATCCCACTTCTCACTTAAACAGTTACCTAAAAGGTGCTTGTTCCCAAGAGATCAGCTTAGTGAGGCAACAGACCACAATTCCCATCAGTTCTAAGGTCTTCCCGGTAAGAGCTTAAAGGACACTAAATGGGAATTTCCATTTTGCCATGTTTATAAAGCCGGCAGTCACAGCAAACAACGTGGTTGTGTAACCTTCAACCTGGAAGGATTGAGCCCAGGGTGAAAGCGAGATCTGAGTTTCTAATCCCACCATTTTGGCTTTGCTACGAGACAGTTCTTTGAGAAACAGCAATTATTTCTAGACTGAATAAAAGAACTCGATTTAAAACAAAACAAAACAAAGTATACATATATCTAGCAGCCAACTGTCAAGTTGAATTTTTATGCCATTTCCTCCCCCCACTCTTCTGTTTTAGTGGGTCTGAAGATGACAGCAGCAACACAACGAGAAGTTCTTGGCCTCTACCGGAAAATTTTCAGGCTGGTGAAGAAGTGGCAGGCAGCATCAGGGCGGCTGGAAGACACCATGAAAGAAAAACAGTACATAGTAAGTGAAGCCAGAACACTGTTCCAGAAAAACAAAAACGTAAGTAAGGCCCCAGTTGGAGTTTGCAAGGAGTGGTTTCTTTTGATGTTTGTTCATCTCTTCTCTAGCCCTACAAATGAGAGGATCGAACAGAACATGTCAGTATGGCCGCCAAGGGGCCAGAGGCTCAGCTAAGCTAGCGAGCTTGGGAGCCCACTCAAAGGTAGAGCCTGGCCTGCGGGCCTCTTTCCACATGTTCCACACCCCAGCCAGCTGGGAGTTGTTCTGTGTCCTCAGAAGACCCCAGGAGACCAGTGTGCGTGATCAGAGGTGGAGCTGCCCCCCTACACACACACACACACACAGCCTACTGGGAGTTGTTCAGTGTCCTCAGAAGACCTAGGAGATCAGTGTATGTGATCAGAGGTGAACTCACTCACACACACACACACACATACACACACACATACACACACACACTACATACAGCCTGCTGCCAGCCGCACCCATAGGAGGTGTGCAGTTTAAAAAAAAATCTTTTTCGGATGCCCAATCTATTGAAAGCCTTCAAATATATAACCATTCAGTGAGAAGAGAATAGGCTGGAGACAGAGCTCACTTTGTAACACAGCTTTGAACTCCAGCCTCTTTGGCGAGCAGAATGTGCTTGCCCTTTGGGACCACAGAATTGAGTAAAATAGTGTCTCCATTAGCTGGTTGAGCAGAACTCCACACCCAGAGCCTCGGGAGCCAGAAACCATCTCTAAGAGGCTCACTGTGACCCATTCCACCAAGCCATAAAGCATTAGATATTAGCGCCTCAGAAAGGCTGGCTGGCACCACGCACAGACAGCGACTTTCTGTCCCTGACCTTTTCTTGAGCTTCCTTCGCATTGAGCACATGGCTTCAATGCTACCACTTGTTCCCTTCAGGAGACTTCCTGAGAGTCTACTCTTTTGACTTTTCCCCTCTTTAGTCCCTGTCTCTGTCTCCTTTGTTGCATCGTCTGTCCCGTGCGTTCTTGTGCCAGCTGTCAGGGCTTCTGAAGTCAGCCCTCCACTTTGAGGCCTGCAGTGGGAGTGGTTATCTATGGCTTCACCTACCACACACCCAGCCTTGGCATCTCCCCAGCCCCCACAGAGCATCTCCCCTCACACGTGATGGTCTAAGGCAGAGCTTGAATTTCTGCAGGGTGTCCCCTCTTCCTACCTTCTATCATAGTTTCATACCTACTCTACAGTGTTTGCTCTCATTATTTCGTCCCACCAGGTGCCAAGTACTGGGTGAGAAGGTGAGGATGTCAGCATGAGCAGAGCCAGGACAGGGCCCCAAAGGCACATCAGGGGTGTGTTTGCTATGTATTAGTGAGTTATTTCATAGTTAACAATTATTGAGTTAGGACAGAGAAGCTCTGCACACAGGATTTCCCAAGCTTTATGAGAGCAGATTACTAGGCCTCTTGTGTTGTTTTTTTAAAATTTTATTTTATTAATTTTAATGAACATTTACAGAGATTTTGGATTTCCATTCATTCATTGTTGCACTATTTTCTCTACCCTCCCCTCCCCAGTTCGTTCCTCTCTTTTTTTCCCCTTGAAAGTCTGTTTTAAGTGACCCATTGCCACAGTGCTTGTCAAAACCAGTTATGATTAATCTCCTTTGTCAGTGTGTCCTTTGCCATTCCCTATCACTCCTCCCTGAGAGAGATTTCACCCTGATTCATAAGGAAAAGGGGACGGCGTATTCTCTTAGCTACGTCCTGCTGAAAAGGGATGCTGTAGGTTTCAGGGTGAAGATCTTCTCTCACTGCTCTAAAGGGCCCCTTTGGCAATAGGAAACACCTAGACTATTGTAGAGATTGATTTTTGGAATTTAGATGCACTGTTATCAATTGTGCTTACCCATACATGTTCATATCCTTGAAGATGTGTCATGGAACTGTTGCAGCCTAGAAGACACAAATTTAACTAACAAGTTGAAAGTACATGAGTCAAAAATGAAAAGCAATAATATTCCAAGTAGAGGTTCTAACAGTGGCACAAATCAAGTTACAGAGGGAAGGTAGTTCTTAAAATAAAAGGCTTATTGACTAGCACTTTGTCAATTATAGTGTAAAGGTTAGGAACCACAAGATGTGGAAGCTCAACTATGTCATTTATTGTTCTTAAGTCCTGGACCAAATTCTGTCTCCCACTGAGTTGTTTTACAGCTCGGAAGTCCACATGCAAGGCAGAGGTGAAGTAAATAACTGCTTATGAGGTTTTCCGTCAATTGCAACAACTAAGAAATAGTGAGAAGAGTTGGGACCTCAGAAGGCTTTTAGGACCAAATAATAGGCTCTTGTGTCCAGGAGAAAATGAATATACTTACCAGTAATGTTAATGCTCACCCACAGATCTTCTGGGAGGATCTGAATTGTTGAAGCGTCCTCCTTTGTTTTCAGCTGAGAGCTGGGACCTGTCAGTCCTGTCAGCTATGAGGACCTGATGTGGGCTAGCCTCTTGTCTTTTGTAGAAAACAGCTGGTCACTTTTGTCAACTTTTTGGTTAGCCAGCCCAGCACATCACCACTGTGGCAGCAGGACTCATACTGGTTTTATCATATTTTAGAAAGAACTTTGTCATTAGGCCAGTTTTGCAAATACTGCATCTTGTTGTTGTTACGTGCCATAGAGTTGCTTGCAACTCATAGTGACCCTATGTACAATAGCTCTGAACCCTGATATATTTTGTGCCACCCTCACTGTCTCTGGCACACCTACCTCCATTACCCCAGTCACTGAATCCGTACACCTCATCCAGGTCTTCCTCTCTGGTGCTGTCCCTCCACCCTCCCAAGCATGATATCCCTCTCCAAGGACTGGTCCATCCTTGCAACATGTCCAGAGTATATCAGACGAAGCTTCAGAATCCTTGCCTCCAAAGAGCAGCCTGGTTTCACCCTCTCCAGGACGAACCTGTTTATTTTCCTGGCAGTCTATTATATTCAATACTCTTCTCCAGCACTGCAGCTCAAAGGCATCAGTTCTCCTTCTATCATCCCTAGTTGTTGTCCAGCTTAAGAGAGAATAATTGAAAGAAAACTATTACTATCATTATAAGTTAGGTGTAGATATGGCAGAATCACGCAGGCAGCCTATGAAGGGCTACTTCAAGCCTCCAGACTTTACATTAGCTGCAATGTGTTTAACCATTGCACCTCCGGGGCCCCTTGCTTCTGAATTCTGAGAGGGAGATCCATGTGGAATTGCCATTGGGATAAACACTACTGAATAAACTCTCGGCTCTTCAGTACCTCACATTCTCTGAATCTCTGAAGCTTGCCTGCTTTTTTACATCTAGCCAGCTTCTTAAGCTTTTCTCTGTCCTTCTTACCCTCCTCCAGCTTCTCCAGACTTTCTTCTTAAGGTCAATGGTCCATGCCCAACCATTGTGTATGCCCATGAAGTCTATGAGGTTGTTAAATAATCCTGTAAGAAGTTGAAAGAAGCTATTGTAACTGCTTGTTCTATTAATTTTTCATTTCATTCTTTGAAAATATGTACTTTGAATATATATTACAATGAATTTATTAGTCTGTGTAGATAATTTACAGATCAGTAATTCATATATTAATGTGTATATATATTTATAATCATTAATTCATAGATGTGTGTGTGTGTGTACACACATGTGTGTGTGTGTGAAGGTCTGGTAGCCTAGTCCTAAGAGATTGCACTGCAATCCCAAAGGCAAGCAGTTCAAATCCATCACGTGCTCCATGGGCAAAAGGTGGACAATCTCTTCTCACACAATTTACTATAATGGAGCTCTGGCTGAGTTTTCAGGAGATTCACTGTCAACTCAAAGACATGCTGTGGGAGAAAGATGGGCAGTCCCCTTCTGTACAATTTACTGCCTCTGAAAACTCACTGGAGGGGTGGTTAGCTATGAGTCAGTTGCAACTTGACAGTATACAACAAGAACTAATTTTATATAT